TCTCAGGAAGCCTATAATTCAGGCATGGAAACAAAAGCAACATGCTGAAACCTATTATGTTCATGTTGACCAATGTCACCCCAATAACTTTAATTAAAAAATGAAAACTAGAAAAAGCAACACACCAACAAATTTAGCACTATTGTTACAGAAAACCAGAGAAGAACCAAGAGAGATGGAGTTATGTTTATTATTATTATGCGCAGGCCCAGAGAAAAATGTCTCTCAAATTCTGGACCCCAACATGGAGGAACTTTCCCTATTTATGTTTTTATCTTGTCTCCCAAATATGGGGTGTTTCCAGCCCCCTTTGCCTCTATGTGCTGGGCCTTGAGACCTCAACCAAAGGCCTGGCCTAGTGCAAGCACTGATAACTTCTTCCCAGAAAGGTTTAATGGCCTCTCTGAAGTAGTAGTCGTCTTATTTTCCTTATTATTTAAGCAAGCACGCACTTACAGAAGCCAAATAGCAGGGTTAAAATTTCAAACAGCAGTTTTTATATAAGATGGATGTTTCACTATAATCCCAAAATAAAGCATACCTAGAAGACCGAGAAATACAACAAAAAGTTTTAAGAAAGGGATTTGAAGGGTAAGTTGAAATGAACCTGAAATAATTTAAATGAGGGAAAAGTGCAGGTCAGATTGGCAGTAGCAAGAGCTTGGGCGAAGGTGAGAAGCAACAAGCTGGTCACATTTTAAACTTGCGTCCATCTAATTATCTCAGCAAACAGAAGAAAAAATAAAAGGACAATTATTATCACATTTGCTCAAAAAGATTCTCACCCATCCATTTAAAATTAAAGCAAAAATACAAAATCTCCCTAGACACTCTATAAAAAAAAAAAAGAGATTTAGAAATGTTCCTTAATTATAGTTCTATTAGAAAGTTTCAGAAAAGCCACAAACCAAGATTAAGTACATATTTTATCAATAAAAAAAATGTAAAAAATGACAAGTGCTGGTGAGGATGTGGAGATTCAAATTTACTTTGAGAGAAAACATTGATTTTACCCTGGCCTAGAATCCCATTTTAAGATATAGTGCAGTTGGTGGGAATGCAGACTGGTGTAACCATTGTGTAAAGCAGCATGGAATTACCTCAAAAACTTAAAAACTGCCTTATGACCCAGCAATTCCACTTCTGAAAGTATACCCAGAGAAACCCAAACCACTAATTCAAATACACAGCCATTGCAGCATTATTTACGATAACCAAGATTTGGAAGCAGCTCAAGTGTCCCTCAGTAGAAAGATGAATAAATTAAAAAAAAAAAAAAAAAAAAAAAGCTGTGGTACATTTACACAATGTACTACTCTGCCGGGGAAAAAAGGAAAAACTTACTTTTTCTGACACCATGGATTGCCCTGGAGAGTACTATGCTTAGTGAAATATACCAGTCAGAGAAAGACAAGTACCATATGATTTCACTTATATGTGAATCTAATGAACAAAATAAAAACAGAAACTGACAGCTGTCAGAGGGGGGATTTGGAGAGCTTGTTGAAAAAGATGAAGGGATTAAGAAGGAAAAAAAATAACAAAAATGTAAGGAAATTTGTCTGAAATTTTTCTATATAGGGTTAAATTTATTTAGTAGGCTGTATGGTGAAAAATTACCTAGCACTTTGATTAAAAAAAAAAAAATATTTCAATAGAAATTGGGCATAAGTTCCACCCCAATGTGGCAGCAATTTAAAATTATAAAGTGCTGTAACTTATCTTCCAACTACCATCAACCTTCCCCAATCACAACCACTGATAAGCAACTTTTATTCTTTTCATTTTCTATTGGATTTTTAGACAAGGAGAGGCAGGGGAAAGAGGGGGCTACTGAATGGGGGTTGAACCTGACACCTTTTGGTGTACAAGAGGTTATGCCAACAACTGAACCACACTGGCCAAGACAAAAACTGTTGTTTTTCTTAATGACCTCAAAATAGCTAATGTAATTTTCTTAAAATAATATCTTACACTTAAGATATTATTTTGATATAATGGCAATGAAAAACTGTCGTTTTTCATTGCCATTATATTCACTCAGTCTCACAACCACCCAGCAAAGTACCCAGTTTTACAGATAAAGCACTGTAGACCAGATAAGGTATAAGTGAATAGCTCAAGGTCACCCAAGTACCTACAGTTAAGAATTCCTAAACCAGTAAGTCTTTAAAAGAGGGTAATAAAACCTTATGGAGATAACATAAATCCAGTAATCTAAAAATTAGAATGGAATGGGAAACATTACTTCAAATTTACTTTGGGAGAAAACATTGACTTTACCTTGGCCTAGCATCCCATTTAAAAATATATTTTAATTTAGCTCCTTCTAATGCTAAAAGTATTTTAAAACTTTTAGAAAGTAAATGAAAAACTAAAAGTATTTTAAAACTTTTAGAAAGTACATAAAAAAATAAAAGTCTGTTTATGGACACAAACTAAATAGTAAATGTCAGCTGAGCAGATTAGCCACTCAAACTCCTGAAAAATTGGGGAACAAATGGAAAAAATGATAATCTTAATTACTGTTATTAATTCTTATGGATACTGGCATATTCATAGAAAGGCAGTTATGGGAAAAGCCCACAAACCCCAATCATGTCCATATGCTCTCTTAAGCATAATAATAAAAAAACCTCTCTATAAACAATCTCACAAAGATGATATAAAAGCCGCATTAATTCAATATTCCTGGGGCTGCATATAGAGCAGGGAGTTTCAAAAAAAATTAGAAACTGTTTATTTCAAAATTCACGCTTAAAATTAACCTCCTTGCATGATGTAAATATTAAAATAAGACTAATTTTAATTAAAATATTGTCTCTAAACCTCTGATAATTTCCTCAACCTTGTGTCCCTTCTCCAAGGCCCTAGCCCCTGTGTACATGCGACACACAGGCCTCACATAGAGGCCTCCTGCCTTTTTCTCTAACAACTAGGACCTTTGTTCCAAGACTCGGTTTTTCACCCCAGTCAATAGCTCTTTCAACTTTCTATCCCGTATATTTTTTTTGTTTTGTTTTTTAGAGAGGAGATTCAGAGCCTCAACTTAACAGGTCTTAAAAAAATGAAACGCGAAAAATATCCGAGAGAGACTGGAAAGGACTTGAAAGTTACAGGCACCACTAGAAGGCCTACAAAACAGAGTCAAGCCCGGGGATCGGGTGATCTGGCAGCCCAGGCAGAATCAGGAACGCCAGCTAGGGAGGGAGACCGCTCGGGACGATTCACTGCTTATTAAACGCCCCCTCCCCAAGCACACACGATGTTTACACAGATACAGTCCCACCTCCAATTAACTAATGAGACAAACTGCACCCACCGCCAGGCACGCTGCTTAAGCCAAACCCCCGCCAGACACAAGGCCCTATCGCAAACAGATCGGTAAAGGTTTAGGAGCAGCCCCTTCCGTTCCCCTCACCACCCAGGGGTAACTGACTCCCTCCCGCCCCTCCGCAGTTTCAGCGTCAACCTTATCTCCCTAACCCCAATTGGCCTGTGTTTTTAAGTCATTAGTTTCCCCAAGAAATTAAGGTTTTTTTCCCCTCATCCTGAGGAAGGGAGCGATCCGGAGGCCAGATTTGTTGTTTTTTACAACCTTCGTTATTTGAACTCTCCTCTCAACTTGTTTCTGAGCTAGAAACCCTCTCTCACTGTGGCGAAGGGCGGAGAAAGAGGTGAACGAGTGGAATGGCGTTATAATACGTTTTATGTAACCCATATATAAATAAATTAATCGCCTGAGTCGCTTTGAATGCTGATACGAGTAGTGACAATCGCTCCCTCCTCCCCGACCCCCCCCCCCCAAACCCTGGGCCCTATCCCCTCAACCCCCATACTGGTCTTTTTACAAGGATGCTCCTCCACTCCTCTCAGCCAAGTTTCCGGGCCTCTTTTCATGCCCGTCCCAGTCTCCCACCCCCACTCCTCCCCCCCGCCCCCCGCATGCCCAGGCCTGTCTACGTCGTCCACCTCCCTCAGCTTCAACTTCCACGACCGAAACTGCCAAGCGCAGACCCCGTCTCCGTCCCCGCCCCCGCCCCCCGCGGCGGCCGCGAAGCCCTTACTGCGGCCTGAAGTCGCTCCGGCCTTCCCCTCCTTCGACCCTCGCCGGCCACAACTGTTGTCACTCAGGCTGCTCCCTAGTTTCCATTTCCGGGACGTCCCTGGCCCCGGAGCCGCCTCTCTCCCGGTTTCCGGGCCCCCATCCCATTTCCGGGGAACCCTCTCGGCCTCCACACACCCCCCACCTGCACTTCCGGGCCCCCACTTTCTCTCTTCCTAGACGCCCTCCCAAGCTCCAGAGCCCACTTCCGGCCCCCCGGCCTCCCTCTCCGGGCTCCAACCACCGCACGCCTCACCCCGGTTCCGTCAAGGGCCCTCCTCATTGCGGGGTGCTGGAGGGGGGAACCTAGCGACTCCCCCCTCCCCCCCAGCTCCCGCCCAGTCAGGTTCCTCCGGCCGCGGTCTCCCTCGAGCGTCTCGCCAGTCAACCCTCCCCGCCCCCCCCTCCCCCGAGCCCGGTCCTTCCGCGACCCAGCCGCCGCCGCCGGGAGCAGGCCGAGCGGGGGCCGATTCGCGGCGATGACACAACCGGGCTTCCTGGTGGGACTTTCTGTTCCAGCTCCTCCCCACCGTCACCTCCCCCAACCCCTCAGAACATTCCCCCTGCCCCTCTCCCCCTCCCCAGGCCTGACCCCACCGCTCGCAACTGCGCCCCCCGTTACCTAGTTGGGCCCCAAAGTCTCCGGTCCGGACTCGGTGGCGCGGCAGTAACTTCCACTCGCTCCCCCACCCCCCCAGACGGCAGCGGCAGCGGCGGCGGCGGCTCCTCAGTCCCTTCAATTATCAGCTGAGCCGCAGCACCGCGGCGGCGTGCGCCTCCGCCTGCGCCGCCTCCCTCCCCGCCCGTTCCAACCCCCGCGGGGGACTACTTTGTCCTCCGCCCGCGCTCACGGGCTGGTCCTCCTCGGGGCCGGCCCCGCTGCCTACTCGCGGCCCATCACATCGCCCCTCCCTACCCTAACGCCCGGATCAACTTCCCAGCGGGCCCGCGACCTCCTCCCGATCCCTTCGAGGGACCAGGAAGGGAAATGTGAAGCTCCACTCGATATCCCTCCGCCGGGGTCACCCCCGCCCCTCGGTGGTAGCAGGAACTAATTCCCTCTCGGGTCACCGGAGGCCCGAGGTGGAAAGTCCACCGGTCAGAGTGCCTTGAAGACCCTTGGGGGGGGGGGGGGGAAAGAAAGAAAAAAAGGAACATCACCTCAAGTTACAAGCGCCCCCCCCTTGCCAGCTCAGAAGAAGACTTCGATTGAAAGTAGGGCTTTTGGCCTCATGACCCCAACCAAACCCCGCCTCTTCCTGGTTGTCCTAGCGACGACGGTAGCGTCCCAAAATGGCGTCGTGGCTGCCGGAGACCCTGTTCGAAATTTTAGGACAAGGCCCAGCGCCGAGCAAAGACTACTACCAGTTGTTGATCACCCGATCCCAGGCAAGTGCGAACCGCGGTTTAACCCTCTCGAGGAAGCTACCTGCCCGCCCCGGCGGAGCCCGGAACGCCGGCCGCGCTGGGCCGAGGGTGGCTGCGGCCCGCCGGAAGCGCCGGGTCCCAGCTCCCGGCCGGCAGATTTCCCTCGTCACCTCGGCCTTCTCCGTCGGCCCTGCGGGCCTGCCTCGTCCCTTCCCAAGCCCAGCCCAGCCCAGCCCGTCCCAGGCGAGCTTTCTTCGCCTCCCCACAGCGCCGCCCTCTCCCTGCCTGCGGCCGAGGGTTCCTACCCGTAGAGTTCTCTCCGCGCGAAGAGAGAAACAGGCGTCCCGGGCTTGCGTGCGCCTCACCTCGGCGTGGGAAGGAGGAAAAGAGACTCACCCGAGTGTCCCAAGGAGGAGCCGGCAGGGGAGGGGAAAAGGGGAACGATCTCTTTCCCTGGGCAGAACTGAATCCTGCGGGATTTTTTTAAAAAAATCTCCCTGTGGTCTTTACGTGTACCAAGGTCACATCATCACTTCCTTATTTCGAGTAAGAACTGATCCCTAAGAGCGCTGTCCTTACCTTTTGGGAGCCTTACTATTCCATTGAAAGTGCAGGGGGTGGTACGGGAAGGTCTCAGCTGCTCCGTGCGTCAGCCCCACCCATAATGACATCTGCTCCACAACAATAAGACCCAGGATTATATTATCGCTGGAGGAAAGTAACCCTCGGCCTATTTTTATGTCTGCTTGAGCTCCTGAAGGTGGCTTTTGGGTGATTTATGATGCCCATGAGATGAAGGGCTTGAACGGGGCCTCTTCCACTCAACACGTTTCCGATTCCTGGCTGAGCTGACGCTTGCCCCTGAGATAGAGATGCATCATGCACCTTGCACTGTAATAGATAATATTCTTATGAAATGGAATTTAGAACTTTGTATTTGTTTTGCTGTAGATAATGAATATTTCGTCAGTTTTTCCATGAGCCCTTAAATAAATTAGGCAGAGAATGAGTTGTTGTTTTTTATAGCTTCAAAAGTACCTTTTAAGATATTAGTAATATATATTTTGCTTTTTTAATCTAAAATTTATAATTATTTTAGGCATAATATTAATATCCCCACGTGATGATAGCCTGCCAACGTTAAAATTTTTAGTTAAACCTTTTTTAGGAATTTTTAAACACTTCATTGGAATTTCTTAATTTTTGAAATTTACTTTTTTTGTGCAATTTTTAGGAATGACTATTTTCCATTCGCTTTAAGATATATGATCCTAACAATTCTAATCTTTCTAACATGAGTGATTGGAACCAATAATATCTTCTTACCCTATTCCTACTTTATTTTTTATTTTCTTGTCTTTTTTTATTCTAATATTGTTCTAATTTTTATTTTATTATCTTTCCCATTATATGTCTTCTTAAAAAAATTTTTTTTTGAGTAATTCTTTTTCACAATGGTCTGGTATTACAAGTGTATTACACTCTAGCATTGTAAGCCTCAGCAAGTTGAATACTTGTCTACTGTTTTTGTTTTAGGAAATGAACCATAGGAGTGGTCCTGACATTAGTTTTCCCTAAGAATGCTTCTGTTGTTGATGTTCTTCAGACTTTGCTCTCTCCTCTAATTTGGGCACATTTCTTCCTTTACTCTGGTGTTATGAAATCTGTGCCTCCCCACCCCATTATTCTTAAGTTTTTTTTTTTCTTTTTTTTTTTTTTTTTTTTTTTTTTTTTTTTTTTTTTTTATACAAGTCAAAGACTCTCCTTTATTTTAGGACCTATTCTTTCTGTGAGTGCTTATATATAAAATTCTTTCCAGGGATGATCCATTTCCTTTTTTTAAGCAAATTGAATATATTCACCGCAGTTCTGCCAGTGATAGTTAACCTTAAATATGATTAATTTACTGTCTTTATAAAGTAAAATTTGTTGTAAAAAATAGTAAGCCAAAAAGAGGTTTTTTTAGTCAACTGTCTTGAGAATATGCTATTTTCTAACCGCAAAGTAATTTTTCTAAATCTCGACACAGGAAACCAAACATCCACTAAGAGGTAGTCTGACATAAATAAATACTAAAAGACTAGAATTAAAATGTGTTTTATAAGAAGGACTATTTTCTGGAGTAAATTTCTAAAACTTATTCTTGTACATTTTTTATTTCACTTTCTTTCTGCCTTTATTCCCCCAAATGTTGTGATTTGTCCAAAATATGCACTAGGTTTAGATGGATACTTCTTTCATTTAGATTCCCTTTTTCATCCATCTTTTACTGCTTTTATTTTTATTGGCTTTAAATCCAAATAATTGCACATATGACATGGATTTGAAGGCATACCACCATTGGCAAAGTGTAGAATATAAAATGTACAAAAATATTTTCTTTGCCTTCTTGCGTACACAGTCACATTTAAAAAATTTTTAAGGCTTACAGAGGCATTCCCAATTAACAACTTGATACCATGTTTTTGTTTGGGTCTTTTTTTTTTTTTATAATATATTTTTATTGATTTTTTTACAGAGAGGAAGATAAGAGGGATAGAGACTTATTATAGAAACATTGATGAGAGAGAAACATCGACCAGCTGCCTCCTGCACACCCCCTACTGGGGATGTTTCCGCAGCAATGTACATGCCTTGGACCCAAATCGAACCTGGGACCTTTCAGTCCTCAGGCCAATGCTCTATCCTTTTAGCCAAACCTGTTTCGGCAAGAAATTTTTAAGTTGTGTTCCTGGATGAAGAATCTTTCCTTAATTTTTATCAGCAACTTGGCATTTACTATGGGGGATGCAAAATATAAGAAGATACCTGCCTTTCAAGAATTTAGTCATTCAACACATATGTATTGAACACATTTTATATATAGGCTAGGTACTGTTCTAGATACTGAGAAGCATCAGTGAACTAAACAAAGTACCTCCTCTCATGAAGGTTATAATACAGTGAGGATAATATAGTTTAGTCATTTGATTTATATAAACACTTAAACAGATTAACTTTTGTGTGTTTTTTTGAAGTCCAAAGGAAAATTGCCAAGTTCATGAATAGCACAGACATTTTAAAATCTGAGTCCAGAGGAAGCAAAAATCATTTTAGAGTGGGTGGTCCAGGAGGTTCCTATTATAAGTATTTTTGCTCTTGAAAGACTGTCTTCTTTGTGCTCTCAAAATGGAAGTGTAATCAGAGTTAGTGGTTTAGGTTTTAATGTGACAAATCTGAAAACTGCTAGAAATACCCTAAGTAGATGAGAATTGTCAGATGTGGCCTCCTGCAGCTAGTAACCCAGGTAGTTGTCCCAAGAGCAACATCATGTTCTCTGCAGCAGCTAAAAGAAGAAAGAATTGGGTAGTAGATTAGTCTTATTTTATTTATCTTTCTAAAGCCTACTCAGAATTTTAAAAACATACCTGAAGCTAATGTCATCTGAAAAAAAATCCAAAAGCTCACTCCCCCAAAATATTTTTGGCATGCAACTGAGGTTGAATGTGAGCCTGTCAACAAACTGTTATCTCAGTGACTCCTGAAAAGGGAATTAAAGAAAACTAGACTTGGTGACTATAGTTTGAGAGACTTTGCAACAAAGTCATTTGCCATTTCAAGCCACTGACCAATTTTAAAGATTTAAAATTTAAGAACAATCTAAGGAAAATGTTAATACCTGGACATGTTGACCCAGCAAATCCATATCTAGGATTTTATATCCAAAAATGCTTTCATATGTGTACAAGGATATGCGAGCAAGAATGTTTACCAAAGTAAAATAATTATAATAACATATTTTCTACAGAAAAATATGCAACCTTTTAAAGTGATGTGATGGATCTCTGATTATTCAGTCAAACAAGTAAAATTGTAACCAAGAAAAGCAAGTTGCTGGATTAAACATCATATGATCCTGTTTTAAAAACAACTACAGTTTTATTTTGTTTAAAATAAATGTTGGAGGGGAAAGCTGGAGTGATTCACTCTTAGGGATTGCTTTCACTTTCATTGCTTAGTTCTGAAAGATCTAAATTTTTCCACAATGAGCATTTATTTTTATAATCAGAGAAAAGCAATAAAAATTGCTTTTTTATTGAGTTAATTTGGTTAACTTTTACTCAGACAAGTTGCCCTACTCTGTGCAAAAGTTTCACCAGCACCACCTCCCACATTAAATGCTGGGTAGCATTAATAATTTGTCACCAGAGATTTTGCTGTGGTTTTGTTTTGGGAGGGAGGGAAGTTGGGGGTGTAAATAATTCTAATTCTACAAATTTAGAGGGGATGCAAAATGAGTTATTGGTTACTTGGGAAATTTTAAAAAGATGTTAGTGTCTAGAAACTTCTGACCTTTCATTTTTGCTTTTGTTGTAATTTTTAATGTAGGTAAATTATTTTTGAGAAACTAAAGGATTGCCCTCTTTTGCCTTGTTGGTTGTAAGATAATATTAATGAGCTACAAAAAGATGTGGAGTGTAAAACAGGGCAAAGGTGGTATACTGAATAGATTTATTTGCCCTCCAATAAAGCTTAGAGAACAGAATGTATCAAGTAAATTGAAATCATATTAAGTAGACACCAGACTGCAAATTTTGAGAGCTGGGTGGGATGCAGTCAATTTGTTATTGTGATGGTGTTTTCCCAGGGAACCCAGGAACCACTAAATTATGCTCTGTTGTGGGCCTGTCCCCCACATCAGGTCCTCAGAGTCAAATACATGGAGTAAATAAAGCTTACTCTTTCCTTGTCCCTAATGGAACCCTCCCTCTGTTGGAAATGAATGTTTCTGCAGACTTAAGAGCTACCTCAGACTTCAAAGCTACCTCACCCTTTCTGCCCAATGGCCACCAGCCACAGCACACCTGCTACTTTTAAAGCCCCAAGTCACCAGAATACTATACTTGCTTTCATGTATTTTACCCTTCCATTTTGTATGGCTTGACTTGCCCTACTCTTTTTCAGCTTTCTCCCCCAACCCCTTGTTTTTCCCTCTATTGTTAAAAGATAGGGTTTCCCCTTCTTCACTGCTTTTTAGAACT